TGCATTTAAAGGATTGTTATATACTTACAAGTTTAAAAAGATACATTAGTGGGTGGTAAGAAGAGTATATACCAGCACAATTTTTTTGTCAGAGTAAATATCAAAAATTAAAAAAAGAATAATGAGCATTTTATTTTATTGCCTTAACAACAACACCATTTCTGCATATTTCCATAAATCTTTTAAGTTCAATGTAGGAATGTCTCGCAACAATATGAAAAAGGTAACACTTTGCACACTGCTTTGAAACTCCAAACTTTTAAATTAGCAACCATTCATGTTCCTTTCCATAATAACCTATTCTCTTTGTATGCAATCACAATGGTCTTGGTATATATTATTAGGTTACATAAACTTAACAGCTTTGGAAAAACATCTGTTGCCTTATTGCGTCTCATGCTTTAACATGTACAGTGTCCCTCCTTAAATTACTGATGGTGTTATAAGTCCTTGTAAAGTGTTGATATTAATTGAATGCCACCCCAAAGGAATCTGATTCATCAACCTTTACAAGATTCCAATGAGATAAGAGGCATAAAAAAATTCTAATCTGAGAAGAGTAGGTTCCAGAAAGATAAAGTTTGACAGACATAAATTTAAAGACAAATCAACTATATTTTCTTATCTAGCAGCTAAATAATTTGCAGTTGCATTATCTAGATACTTAATGCTAAAACTAATCTAGTATTGTCAAATATAATCAAGTATAATTTCTGTACTATTTAAGATCTTTGTCACTAAAATTGTGTCTGAAATTTTTCCATACTTTAGTAATTTTATGGATTTTTTTTTAAATTGACTTATGACGCAAGCATCTTTCCTCTTGATTTATTAATTTTAAACTCTAACCTCTTGCCCAGTTTGCACATTATACAAGTGTTTAATGACTCAGTGATTCAGGACATAAAATTTTGACACTCGCAGGATTCAGAATTAGTGGTCAAATGGTCTGTTGGAAGAATCAAACATCAAATATTGTGCTATTATTCAACCTTTTATTTCCTTCTACATAAAAAAATTAAATGTCCGTTTTTATCACAAAGTCATTTCTTTGCTGCTGCTGTTGTTTTAATATCTGTCCACTCGTCATTCTTCAAGTTCAGCTTCATGTTAAGTGGCTAACGCTAGCTCTGCGATCAGACTTGATCAGCTTGAAGTGAGAGAGGAGCCCTTTACACTTCAGCAGAAGACAAAGATAGTGTAGCTATTATGCTGTAGCGGTGGACCAGTGATGGATACATTTCCTATAAGGATGCTGATTTGTCTGTAGTTGTGTCAAATGCCTCATCAAAAAGGGCAAAGTAGATGGCCATCTTGGACTCTGTGTAATATCTCTGGCTTTTAGCCTTTCCAGCCAGCTGACCCACTCTTCAACAACTTTATCTGTATCTAAATTTAAGTAGTCCACAAGATCACGTACATCATCTTGTCTGTAGAAAACGGGAAGGGCATCCATCACCTGGCAGTCTTGAATGGAAAGGACCAACACTACTAGTTTGGCGATTGTTTCTGAGTTAACAAATCTTTCTTTAATGTGTTTTATAAGGGAGTTGATTAAAGGAAGTTTGACAGTTATTTCAAATTGCTCTTTGTTACAACTCGTTTTTCTCATTTGGAATTAATGTTTCTCTAGTTTTCCCCCCATGGTCCACATTTTATCTTCTTTAGTTCAAGAGCTTTACAAGTTTTGGATGTCTGTGGTTCCATAGCAGCAAGGTCAACATCTATCTTTTGGTTCTGTTAGGTAAGGCAAAATATCTCTTAGCAGTACATGCAAGTGTCCTTACCACTAGTTCTGGTTCTTACCACTAGTTCTAAGAGCGCATAGACACAAACCAGAACTATACCTACATTGAACTCTTCTGCATACCACACAAACAGCAAAATTTCTTGAACTAACATATGATTCAGAATTAACATGCAGAAGTCATATTAGCCAAATTATAAATAAAGTATGGCAACGAGCAAACTATGTTAGGAGACTGTAGGGTAAAAATAATGGTACATCATCAGAAAATCTATAAACAGTATATGCGTCCAGTAATAAAATATGCTATTCAGCATAGAGTAATGTAGCACCGTCCAATATTGATAAATTACAAAGAATACAAAACTCTGTAATTACTACAGTTTATAGAGTACCCAGAGCAACAAATTCTGAACTCACGCACAAGTATGCAAATATACAAACAATCCACGAAAGATGTATTAACTTCCATAGATCGTTACATCATACGTGATTATGATAGTCCTAAGTATCTCTCACCACTCGATATGTGCAATAAGAAAAAGTCCGACTACACTATACATTAAATATATCGCTTAGATTAAATTATCAAAAGCGTGTTTAAAAATATATTGTATGTCAAATACACTTTCGATAATGTGATCAGATGAAAAGTGATGATTAGTCAATGGAAATATTTGCAGTGTATAACGACCAAATGAAGAGAAGTGGCAAATTAGTACTAAATACTATAGTGTGATATTCATGAAGATGACCCTGAAAAAAGGGAAGAAGGATTAGTGTACAAAGTATATGTGCTCTAATCTTATAATGTTAATATAGCATTTGATAGCAAACATCCAAAAACCGTAAAAGCAGGAGGAAGAAGTCTAAACAGCACCTAACCCTCCCAGTTCGCGCACAGTACGACTGAATAGGCGAATACCGACCGCAATAGATTGTATGATGCCCCCAGTGGCACAGCGGGATGTCTACGGACTTACAACGCTAGAATCCGGGTTTCGATACCCGTGGTG